TAGAACAGCAGTGGTGGTTGTAACAGACAGAGCGTTTGTGTACGGCGGCTTGGGAACATGCTGCAAGATGGCGTTTCTGGTCTCTACCGCAAGCCTTCTCTGCGACCAGAGCGAGGTGAACGCAGAGCGAGAGAGGTAGGTGGGGTTTTTGCGGCGGGAAAAGCAACGCACCTCCTTTCCGGCCCTCGTCGTGGTTTGTTCGGGGGGGGGGGGTTAGAGTGTCGGACAACAATCTTTCTGGCTCAACTAAATAGTGTGTCTGCAGGCTCTTTGGTGTGGTGCGGGTTGCAGTGCTGTTGGAACCGTTGTTGGTGACGTGCTGCCGTCGCCGTCGTCGTCGTTGTTGTTGTTGCTGTTCAGTAGCCGGCAGTAGGACGACGTGAAGGTTGTGACAGGAGTGACTATGCCCTTGTTGCGGCTTTCTCGCCAATTTTTCACTTCTGCTCCTTGTGTCGTGGATTTTCTGCTGAAGAGAGCGTCAGAAGTGTGACTGACCTACTTGCCGAAGGCTCTCGATTCTCGCTGGATGGCGGAACTTTTTTTGTTCGTGTTGTCGTGTTGTCGTGTTGTCGTGTTGTCGTGTTCTCTTGTTCTTCTGTCTTTCACAGGTTTAGTTCTTATGCCGTTCCGTTCTGAAGGAACACGGATAACAAATGTGTGCCGTGGATCCTCCTCCGCCGTAAAAGCTGTGCTTCTTTCTGTTGGGTGTCGAGACGGCAGCGGCTGCTTCTCCGCTCTGCGGTGGGTGGGAACGGCACACGTCGTTGTTCAGCAGCTGGGGCCGTCTTGCAGGTCGATGGCTGCTTCCGGGTTGGAGATAACTCTTTCGTAACTTGCTGCTCGTTGTCATACTGATTGGTTTTGTACTTTCGCCGGGTTTGGGGGGGGGGGGTGTACTCATAGTCGTGCATGCCGTAGTCGTTTGACCATTGACCTCGCATCCCTACAAAACCGGGACGGAGCACGCCGGGTTCTCACCGGACCAGGCTCTCACATCACCAAGCGCGAAGCGCCGTGAGGTATTTGGCGATTCGCATGAAGGGTGAGCTGCATCCTGCTAAGGGTGTTCGGCATCTTGTGCTTACTTCCTTGCGTACGGATGACAGCTACGTATGACTTAATTTATTTTCTGGTGCTTTCACTTCCAGAGACAGTTGTAAGCACTGTGTAACTGCCTCGAGGAAGCTTGACCATTTTAACACAACGTGGTGCGATCATCCCCCGTTGCGCGGAGTGAGGTTTCTCGACCCCGCACAACATGATCTACTCGACCACCATTATGATTACCGCCAAAAAAAAAACGAGGTAAAAAAAAACAACGGTAACCCGGTTGCCGAGTTCACGAAGTGAATTGGCTTGTTTTACAACGTCGTTGCCAAGCGACGAAAACCCAATCCCGATGGCAAACACCGAGTGGGGGGCTTGTTTTACAACGTCGTTGCCAAGCGACGAAAACCCAAACCCCGATGGCAAACACCGGGGGGGGCGGCTTGTTTTACAACGTCGTTGCCAAGCGACGAAAACCCAACCCCGATGGCAAACACCGGGGGGGGGGGGAGGGAAGGGGGGGGGGGAAAAAAAAAGGGGGGGGGGGGGGGGGGGGGGGTAGAGAGCTCGACATGTGTGTCGGGCGTGACAAGGATGTTTCCACGACGAGGCAGTTCATTCTGTCCATGTGTGTGGGTCCTCTCTCTGTGCTTCCGTTCGTATTTTTCATTGTACGGTCTTTTTCGTCGTATTTTCTCTGTACCTTCTTTCGCCGTTTTCGTTTTGTACCTTGTTTGGTCGTTTTCTCTTGTTGGACTATGGAACAGAGACGACGCGGCGGGGGACAGACTCGTTCTGTGTCCCTGGCTGCTTCTTCGTAGCCATCTTGTATCTTAATTCGTATATGGTGGAAGATGGAAGATTGTTGGTGCCATCGTCTTGTGTGAGTGTTTTTTTCGCTCAGCGCATGTTCAGTACATGACGTTGGGCGTCTTTTCTTGTTGTAGTTATGCTGTTATTGCTTTGGTGTTGCTGCTGTTACGTGTGTCGCGCACCCGGGAGCAGACAGACGTATCCTGTGTAATGTCGTTTGTTTGAAGCAGCAGATCGAAGCCGTCGTCGTCAGCAGCAGGTGCATGTGCATCCGTAGAGGAAGTCGAAATACACGCTTTTCCCGCTGCTGCTGCTGCTGCTGCTGCTGCTGCTGCTCCTAACGTGATGGCGGGGATCGCTAGGCTGTCCTGCGGCGACACTCCTCGTTGTATGTGTTCGGTGTTTGTTGTTCTGGCGCTCTTTTTTGTCGATCGCTCTCTTGTGACTGATGAACGTAGGGAGCGGGTGAAACGGGAGTTGTGTCCTACGTAATTTGTTTCGTATCCGTGTAAACAGAGTCGATGCTTGATAATGGAAGAGAGATACATCCGTGAACCGCATCGTGTGTTTAATGAGTACCTGCTGTTTGCCGCTGCATTTTCTTGCGCATAGAAGTGCAGTTGCTCTCAGCGAGCGGCCATGACAGCAGCTGCGTGTGTGTTTGTTTTATGCGCTAGCTGTACCATATGACAATGAGCAATGCGATTTCATCTGGCAAGAGACCTCAAGCGTGGACCCGTGAAGCAAGGTATGCATACGGCGCCAAGGACGTGAAAGTGAAATTGTGCACGCAGCTTGACGCAGCCGGTAATAGTGTGGATGTCCCCCGTCTGTCACAAGGGTTGGGTCTTGAGAGACGCAGTTTACACCAACTATTGTTTAGATCTCACGAATACCGAAAACTGCTGCATTCGCTGGTGTGTGTGTGACACTTGTGTTTTTAGCATCAAGATACGTTGCACAGCTCCATCATCCCAGCAGGAGACACCTTTTTATTTTTTGCCCCAATATTGCCGGAAAATGGTCGGTTGACAGGGGACATTCTCGCGTGCAGGCCGAAACCAAAACCGAAGGATATGGGGAAAAGAACGGCCCATGCATGCATACATGTTGTAAAAAAGTGACCGGAGGTGCGAAAATGTGACCGAGTTTTCAAGTGTTGCGTTGCCTACATGACGGCGCGTGCTGTAATCGAAACGCATGGACATGTACGTGAAAACCACGGCTCCCGAGGCCTGAAAATGCAGCGTCGTCTTACACAGTTGGTGTAGAATAAAGTGCTTTCACCCCCCTCAAACCGTTCTGGCGGGGTCGTAACCAGCAAAGAGGCGCAATTCGTTGATGCCTGCACCGCTCTTTCTGCTGGAAGAGTCGCTCACCACGCACCCCCCTCTGCGCGTCGATTCATGAATCACATCAATTTGTTTGTGAGTAAAGTACGCACTGAAGTAGTTACTGCCCTCGTTTTCATGTTATGGGGCAATTCACTCATATGGAGGGCTTCGTCATCAATGCTATGTGTTTCGCACAGCATATGAATAGATGATAGGTGCATCTCGTTCAGGAAACCAAGGTCTGAGCGAGGTGCACGTACGCACGAATCGTAGGCCAAGAGCGAGCGACGGCGTCAAGTGTTCGCCATGAGTAAGACAAAATGTCCTTGCACAAAGAAAACAGAAATAAATCACGATTTCATTCCCAACAGACAGAACTCACCCCCGCTACGCGGTCGATGCCAAGCCATCAAAAATAGAGGTAATCCGGGAGAAGTTGTTGCACCACCCACCTGCACCTAAATTTGCACAAGAGTGCGTTGGCATGCATTCCACTGACTCGCGACAACAACAAAAGTCGTGTCGCGGGTCTGGGGGTTATCGAGAATATTTGAACACGGTTGAAATTTCAAAGTTTGTATTTGTGTGAACAAGAAACAAAAAATGAGCAGAATCGATCACCACCCGCCCCCGATGCCTCGACACTGCGTCAACCAATCACGCAGCCTCCACCCATCGCCCCCTCCTCCACCCTCCATCAATGTCTCACAGCAACCAACTCCCACAGAACACCAAAGTATTACAGTACAATTACAATTGGATCAACGTCATCACATGGAGGTTCTATCACGACACAACAGTACAGACAGGGTCAACGTAATTACAATGATGGTGAAACGAAGGCACTCCTACTCGGTAGTAAGTCGAGTTTCCAAGGATCGTCCTATGTAGGCACAAGCAACATGTCTAGAGATGTGTTTAACAGCTACGCAAATGCATTCACACTCAAAACGTCACCCTCGCAACGCGCGCGCTCGCTTGGAAACTCATAGCGGCTACAACGCGCTCATCGTTTCCCCCTAGGGTGTACCAGTAGCAACTAAGACTGTTACGTAAAAACAAGACACACGAACTCTCAAGACCTGTGGTCTATCACCAGTTTTCAAGCGGTTTCACTTGGTCTACACAGCAGGGGTCTTCGAAATAACTGAACAGTAAACAGCCATCGTTCAAGGCTAACAACCCGGAACAAGACGCGAATGGAAAAGCTGCTCGTCCAACGAGAATATCTCCACAACCTGTAGCTCCAAGCCCGTTCCATGTCGCTGACCAAAGCAGTAGTAGCAGCAGTATGCATGCCAGCTATTTGTTCCTTCTTGCCATGCCATATGTTAAGCTATGTCATCGCCTGCCACCCATCCCACGACCGACCCTACACCGGGTAGAACAGAAGAGGACGGGGGGCACGGCCCACCGAGCGCTGCGCAATCTCCCCCATCCGTCAATCCCGGCAAGCCGCCGCCTCGTCACCCCTCGGGCAGGCACACCAAGCGCTACGTACCTTGCCCGCCCCCCGCCGCCAGACTTGTACGGGACGATCAGTCTAACAGTGGCCACTACGGTAGTGCTACAGTAGGTTGCTACCCTCGTCAAACGAAACCGCCGCTTCCCCGGTGGTGATATCAATGCGCACAGCGATGTTGCTGCAATAGATGCTGCTGCTTCCGGGTGGCTGCTACGCGCTCGTCCGACTGAATCCATCATCGCGTGTTCAACACCGATTCATAAAAACATCCGCCCTGCCTCTCGTCGCGCCTTGCAAGGTCGGCCGCCACGCCCCGGTCAATCGTCGCCGACATGACACGAATGATTTTGTCAACCCACCGATCGCTGTGCCTATCTCCCTGCTCCTGTGTCTGCCGGTCTACCAGGGCTTCCGCTGTGGGGTAAACACAGGTACACCTCCAAGATAGCACCACTCAAAGAAAGTAAGGGAGGTAGCACCGCGAGGGGTTTTGGTCGATAACCCTGCTGTGTTTGGGACTAGTGACCGCCATGTAGACCTACCGCACCACACCCCCCCACTCCAGCACATTCACTCTGATAGGAACGGCGTAAAACCGCGCACACAAAACAACATATTCACATCAACAAGAAACTATTTTACTCCTCGCCTTTCACATTCGACGCCACTCCCCCCCAACCAACCAAAAAATGAGATCATCCAAATTTCTGGTAAGCGTGGAGTTCGACCTTGCCACGGGTACCCACCCCCATCCAGAACACCCCTGTGCATTCATTCGCATTCGCCTCGCCTAGGTTCGTAATCGCTTGAAGTTGTTGTTGCTGTTGTGGTTTTGGCCCTGCCGTTGCTGCATCGGTATCGCCATCGCCAGACCACCACCCGCCCCGCCAACATCACCACCACCCCCACTAGCCACCGCCCCCACCCCCGCCACCGCCCCCGCCGGAAGGGTATCGTTTGCGCTGCCCCCGGACAGGGACGACGTGTTGTGTTGCTGGATCAAGGAGTCGATCTCCATGAACGCCGAACCGAAGTCCTTTTCGAGCCGTGACGGCGCCAAGACATCGGGGGGCGTGCGGAGGAGACGGTTATTGCGGGGAGGGAGGGGTGGATGCCATGGTTCCGGAATAGGGCCGATAACGAAAGAGTTCCGAGAGAAAGAGAGAGAGAGAGAGAGAGAGAGAGAGAGAGAGAGAGAGAGAGAGAGAGAGAGAGAGAGAGAGAGAGAGAGAACTGTCAAACAATGAAGATTCTCATCATAACAAGACTCGTACGAAGAAACACAAAAAAAAACTCTGACGCGAGCTTTCGGCGAAAGACGTTGCTAGTCAAGGGAATCTCAAGAGCGCAAACACGCACTATCCGAGGGTACGGTTATAGGGGAAACGTGTTCATAAACGAGAAGGAAAAACAAAAAAAAAATACATGAAGAGTATATATAGATATCGTTCGAGACTCCTCACCGCCTGCGACATATCGTATTCGTCCCCCTCGCCTCCTTCCCGTCCTCTTGCTGCTGTTGTTGTCGGTGGCTCCCCGGGAGGCCTGCTTGCGCCTCGATCTCCACACCCGTCCCCGACCGCGTAGTCAAACGCGGGGCTGCCGGGAAACGATGGCATCGCCGGCGTGCCCCCACCTCCACCCCCCCCCCCTCCTGGGTCCACCATGGGGTCCACGAATCGGCGGTGCCCCGAGGTGCCCGCGCTGCTGCCGCTGCCGCTGCCGCTGCCGCTGCCGCTGCCGCCGGCGTTGTTTTCAAAGGCGGCCGCCTTGTTCGGGGACGACTCGCGCAGCGGGCCTCGCCCCGCCACTACCGCCGCCGCCCCCGGGGCTGTCATCGTGGGGCCTCCTCCGCCCGACGGCACCGGAGGAACCTGCTGCGAAACCACGCGGGGGCTTGAAGCGCCACCGCTACCGCCACCGCCACTGCCGCCGCCACCGCTGCTGTTGCCAGAAGCTACTCGGGGCGAGTGTTGAGGAATGTTGGCTCGGGGGGGTGGGGCACCAACACCACTGCCGCCGCCACCACCGCTTCCAGCGAGAGGGGGGGCCTGCTGTCCTGGCTGCGGTGTGTGTGGCCGGCCGTTCGGGATATGCGATCTCTGCTGTTGCTGCTGCTGCTGCTGCTGCTGCTGCTGCTGCTGCCTGGGGCTCTGCTGTTGTTGCGGTTGCTGTTGCTGTTGCTGCTGCTGCTGCTGCTGCTGCTGCTGCTGCTGCTGTTGCTGCTGCTGCTGTTGCTGCTGTTGGGGTGGCGGCCGCCCGGCGGGGCAAACGCTTGACCGCGGTGACCCGCCCGTCTGGTCGTGATGAGACTGCTGCTGCTGCTGCTGCATCTGCTCCTTACGCATTCTGGCCTCCCGCTGCTGGTTGGCCTTGAGCTCTCTCTGGTTCTGTTTGTGGGTGATCTCGGTTTCCTTCAAGCCCTGTGGGAAAACCGCAAAAAAGAAACAAACTAGATGGACAAACATCACCGTGACAAACACACACGCTCGTTTCTGACTGACGACTCACGTTAGCGACGTGTGTCCTGCAGGCACCCATCTATTGTCCCGCGAAGACGACACATACATAAGTGCGCGGAGACAAACGCAACTTTTGACCATGGCGGCGCCGATGAGAAAAAGCTTTTTCGCAACACAGGAGGCAAGACAGCAAGCCACACACAACAAAATACCGCTCGGTTCCATCTCCCTGGGGCATCCCCGGTTGGGTGGGGGGCGTGCGAAGCGACACCCATCCACGCGTTAAACATGTGTCACAGGAATAACGGGGAGGAACCCTATCGGGCCTGTGGCGAGCCACGCCTGTCGCGAATGACTATCGTCTCGTCAACGCGCTTAAAAAAGGCTTACGGAAAGCTGGCAGACCCGCGCGCATTGTCGTTGTTCACCTCTTTGTCCATCATTTGCGAGCCCAGCTGGGTGCCAAAGAGCCTGAGCGCTCTCTTCTTCGCGTCGGTGACCGCGGCCTGTGGCGGCAGCATCAGCATCAGCATCATCATCATCATCAGCAGCAGCAGCAGCAAGCAGCAGCAGCAAGCCAAAGGCCTCGGATGAGACCATGCAGGACTCGCGCTACACAATGTGCACCGAGCGCGAGGCATGTCCTCTGATCCATCCCCTCAACAGGACCCCCATGCAGAAGGGCCAACACGAATAGAGCACACCACAACAGTGGCCGCTAAAGAGGACCCCTCTGCAAAAAGGTCCAATACGCACAGAGCATGCTGGTGCCCTCTTGGCGAACACCACCGCACCTTCTTCACCCTGCTGAGGACCTCTCCCTTGTCCTTGTCCTTCATGTGCGAGTTGCCGACATCTTCATGGCCGCAGCCGTTCGCCACTGTTATCCGCACGATGGCCGTCGCGCCCGCCATCCAGAACCTGCCGTCCTCGCTCTTCTCGAGCTGGCGTGTTTTCACCATGTCGGCGTCGGTGTTGTGACTAAATAGTCGCAGTTGTTGGCATTGTGGCGTTGGGTGCTGCTGCTGCTGTTTCATGGAGCTGCTATTGTCAATTCGGTAAGCACAATAGATGCTGTTCGCAGATGTTGCATTGTGGCGTTGGGTGCTGCTGCTGCTGTTTCATGCAGCTGTTGTCGTCGACTCGATAAACACAGATGATGCTGTTGAATTTTTCTTGTTTCTCTCCCTTCGCGTTCTTCCCTGCACAGGACGCACCACCACTTCTGCCTGCCGTCACCTTCTTTATCGCGCTCATGCATGGCCCAACTTCAGCTACAGCCGCAGCCGTACATCAAGGCATCAGCGATCACTACATCGTCACCAAAAATGAAAAGAAAAAAGAGTTACCCTTACAACAGGAAGACTGGCGGAGAACGTACCAGGTGCGTGTGTGTTGGCGCTTACAGTCTACTCTGGACGTGAGTCTACAACTTTCGGTATTGCGTGCTCGACTAGCCAGCCGGGGTCTTACATGCAGAGGGAAGGTAAATTCTTTAAGTTCGGTTTTGTATTTGTCTACGATTCCCCCCTGCGGTGCTTGCCTCATCTACTAACGCGGGAAGGCTTCAGCGACTTCTTTCCCTCTTCTTGTGAGAAAAGCCACAAACAACCGCACAGAACAAGCTCCTACATGAAACTACACTACTCACACCGCCAACGAAAACGCCTTCCAGCCATGTCCCATAATACATTCAATGGTGCTGCGGTTCTGCCCTTGGGTATCGCGCCGGCAGGACTTGTCGCTGCACGACCCACCCTGACGGCTTGTGGGGCATGCCCCCCACGGACTCGGGGGTGGTACGACATCGTCGGTAGTGCCCGCTCCCACCGGGTTTACGTTCGGGACGGAGGTGCAAACGGCGCTGTCGGCCCAGTCATCACCCTTACACCCCCGGCCTAGCGCCGGCGGGGCGGCGGAGGAGCGCTGACTGCGCCGTTTACGCTATTTGCACCTCCCGTCCCGAACATAAACCCGGTGGGAGCGGGCATTACCGACGATGTCGCAACACTCCAGAGTCCGTGGGGGGCATGCCCCACCAGCCGTCAGGGTGTCGTACACACCATTGTCTACTAAAAAGAAACAGTTATATATTGGTGTTGGCTGGTCTTCAGCAGTGGAGGCTGTTCGGGGGTCATGTTCCCTTCTGTTTCTTGGCGACTGTTCGCCTTTGAGAGTCTGTCATGTTCTTTGAAGCAGCTGTTACATTCATTCCAGCACAGCAGCAGCAGTAGCGGGCAGTAGAACAGCGAAGAACACACCTTGGTCATAGGTACCTGTGTACAGCAGTTTCGAACACGCACGTCTCTACTTCCTGGTTGCGCTTGCTGCAAGCTGTGGAGGAACAACAACACACCCGCGCAAAAACTCTGAATCGCTGAGTAAAGCGGGTAGGCCGTTCAAGTACTGTAGCAGTCTAAGAGGTGGTCGAACGCCGTTGTCGCTCGAATCGCTGGTGGTTGATGGTGCAGAGGTTAGCTGTCTGTCTGACGGTCCCATTGCCCCGTCATCTCTATTGTTGCGGAGTGTGGAAGGAACGAAGAGTGCGTCCTCTACGATATGTATATCTGTGTTTGCTCTTGACATGTTCTTGCATCGCCTCCTGCCACGGTGCTCGCACTACGCCTTGTAGAGTGTCTTTCCTGATTCCTCCCCGCTTCATTATCCATTCCTGCCGTACTCTTACTCGGGGTCGTTTCGACATCGCCGGCATTCCCCGCTCCCACCGGGTTTACGTTTGGGACGGACGGTGCGAGCGGCGGAAACGCCGCTGTCACCGCTCCTACGCCCCCGGCCGGGGCTTCGGCTGGCGTAGCGCCGGAGGGGGGCGGAACGAGCGGGGACTGCGCCGTTCGCACCGCTCGCACGCCCCCGTTCCAAATGGAAACGCGGTAGGAGCGCGCAATGCCGACGATGTCGCAAACTCCATCATATATTGTCCTGTGTCTGATTCCTCGACTCTTGTCCCGGTTCAGTATCCACTCCTCATGTAGTCCTAGGGGGTCTTACACACGACGTGGACGATGCACGATGGAGACGCTGACAGAACGTGCGCACTCTCGGAGTTGGCAACAAAGCAGACGGCCTTCCTTGTCGCGCCGTTTCTCTTCCTCTTTCTCAGTGTCTCTACAATAGTGTACTACCATGTGAGTTAGAAATTGTGCGCTCACGTAGTCCAAGCTGAGGTGCAGGATGGACGAGTCCCAGCCGGCGAACCCGAAAACCTTGTTTGCGTTTTCAATCACCGTGTGTCCGGCGAGGTAGGGCACCTGCACGGACGGGAAACAGCCACGGTCAGGGGTAGGGAAAAAGCGTCCCCGACAAAAAAAAATTGTTCCGTTTCAAACATGGGGTTTCCCAAAAGGTGTGTGGTTCACCATTGCACTACAGCATGGGCACAATAGGGTACAACACAGGGACAAGGGTACAGCAGGAATCGTGGCCGATAGGTGCCAGACCAGCTAACCGGGACTACTCAGAGCCACCGGCGCTATGCAAACAGCAACAGCAACACAGCTTGACTTTTTCATCCGTGCCGAGCTAGCATTTCTCCGTAGTCTGCTGTACGGGCAGCGCTGCCATTTACTACGGTGCGCTCAGCACCCTTCCGACAGCAACAACCCGAGGTTTTATGCCAGGGGGTGCACGTCCTCCCGCCCCCACGAACGGACCGATGAGGTACAACGGTTATCGTATCTCAGCGTTCCCAGGGTTCTTGCCAGCGGAATGCAACGACACTAGGCGATCACCCGGCACTGCTAGTCTGTGCAAGAGCCATGTTTATTTTTTTCGGCCGCAAAGAATGGGAAACGGCCATGCTGAGGCCCCACGGCCCTGCTGAGGCGCCGAGGCTCTCTTTCGGCTCATCCTGGCCTGTTGTAGTGTAGCTGAACAATAGGATTCCTTCCCCAAGGTGTTCGTTTCCCAATATCGTGTATCGTGTGTGGTAGGTAGGGGTGCGCTCACTCCATTACAAGGTGTGATCAAACGCCTCACGGCGTGTTCCCGCAAAACAAAAATGGGCCGCGCTCACGGAAGTTAACACCAAAAACTGGCCCGGCCCTCACACGCAGCCATTCGGGCACTAGCGTCAGCGTTTCCCGACACCGGCACCGGTTCGGTAGTGGGGCACAGAAAACAACACAGCAATGCGAATCAGACGGGAGATCGGAATATCGCCGCCATCAAATATACTCATTCGAGCGAGCACGCAGTCGACAGGGACGACAGGAGGCCCCCAGCAAAGACAACAACAGATGGGGGAAGGGAACCGCAAAACAGGGAGAAGCAGCTCTTGGGGGAGCCAGGCCGAAACACAGCTACCTAGCGCTGAGCGGCACGCGAGGCGTCCTCCTCACACGAGCGCGACGAAAAGGTTTCCGAAAAGCATGGTCTACCTTTTTCCCGCCGCCGCCTGGTCTGGAGTTGATCTGATCCCAGCTGAGAGCAGTGTTGAGGGCCTGCACGAAATGGACAAACACACGCACGCACGCACACAGCAACAGAAGGTCGACGTCCGACGGGTGAGGCACAGCCGGGTGTATCTGGCCGCGAAAATCGTATTCTCAACGGGTAGTCTCTCTTGTGATTTCATGAGGATTTGTAAGATGCACGAAGAATTGGTCCAAAAGATAGATCTCATGTTATGTTAGGGGTGCCGAATACAAGCGAAAAAAGGGCTGAGTATGTTCATGTTTCAGTCGTTGAATTGTATGTACTGCCCTAGGGGTGCCAAAAAGGCGGGAGAAGAGGCTGCGGGGGCCGTCCGTTGTGTCGCGTACGGCGCTGTGTAGCGCCGTCAAGACCGCTACTCCGCTGTGTACAAAGCAGGAAGGAGCGTCGCGTTCTCAAACTACCATGCGTTTCGCGTTCGGCAGGATTGGTGTTGACTGCTGTAGTGTTGAAATACAGCGCCTTACTGCTGCAGGATGTGTGTAGTACTATTAATTCGCTGTATTTCGACACGCCCCCATCAACAGCATAACGGTATCCGGGTTACTCATGCTTCTCTCAGCTGCTATCCTTCTCTCCAAGTTGTCCCTAGTTGCTGCAGTAACTCGTATTATTTCCATGCATTACGTCAAAACAACAGAGTTTCGTTCTCAGTAGACTATTGTTCACCTTTCTACAATATTAGTCTACGATTACAACCCTTACCCGCTATTACCATGTTGTACCATTGTCCCTCATCATCATTGGGACACGGCTTCTCATGCTTTCCTTAAGCGATGAGCTATTTTTCACCACGTCGATTACTGCGTCTTGCAGCTTTCCTACCTTGTCCTCCATAACGTGTTCACAACTCGTCACACAGCAGTGTGAGTCATGTAGGTCCTGCCTGTGGGCGGTGGTTGAGACAAGCCGCTACCCGTTCAATTTCAGTACTTAGTTGCACAAGATACCAATCCTCTGTGACTGATTTTCAAAGCTCGGTTGCCCCAAGACGGATATGATGCTAACGTCAAAGGATGGGTGTAGGAAGCTCTGGACGAGACAGTCCGACGTCGCAATATTCGGCACCGTCGCGGTGCCATTTAGTTCCAGAGCACTAACGCTTCCAAAAATCGAAAATTGGGTGCAAAGGGGGTGGTATCTTGTGCGACTTGCCATGTCAATGGGTGCAGTCGACGATTTCGTAGTACCATCAGGTCCTACTTTTACTGCGCTGCCAATGCCTTGCTACTGCTATGGTGGCGCTCGCTTGTGAGACGGCCATGTCAATGCATTATGGTGCTCCCGTGGGCCTTCAGCTACCACTACTGCCACTAGGCGATCAGCTACCGCTGCTGCCACTACCTAGGACTGCCGCCACTGTGGCACGCGGCTGACGAGCACAACAAGTTTTTGAAGGCCTCTTCCCGAATCAAATTGCTTAGAATTGTAATTGCAAAATAGAAAGAAGGCCAGCATGCACTCCTGAAACTTGGAGACAGGGAGAAAACGAGAGACGCCCTGGAGGTGTACAGATGTTACTATAGACTAGTACAGCAGGCTGCTGCAGGGTAACAAAAGCAAACGGGCACCCTAATTTTTTTTTGCGTTTCACGTGACCAACCTGTTGTATCCTTGCATGATCTTCATCGCTGAACTTGTCGGTCCCGAAAATCCATTGCGCCCCTTGGCCGGATGCTCCCTGCCGCTCCGCGTTGTAGGACGTCGGTTCCATGTCGGACAGTGCAATGCGAATGTGTGCATTTGTACCGCAATTGTAATAGTGTATGCAATTCGCCAGAGGGGGGAACGCGGCCGAATATAAAGCATTGCGTAGGGGGTAATTTTTTCTGAGTTCGCAATTGCGGAGCCCCTACCGGCAAGATGCAAGATGTGCAGTCACAACTGGCAACTCTTGTCCGTGGTTGTGGTAGCGTTGCAGCTACTGCTGTCCACAGCACAGCTCCGCTGCAGCGCGAAGAATGGCTGTGACCTCACCTCGTGTTGTAAAGAGCTTTGAGAGTCCAGGCACGTCGTGTTCACATCAGTGATATTGCAGAAGACCGTTCCCGTTCAAAAATGTGCTTGAATTTGAAATTTTGAAAAAATGTTAGAGACGGCATGTACAAAGCACAGCAGTAGACCAGTAGAGAGTACACCAGCCAACTAATTACGCCAGTACTGAGAGAGTCGCAAACATTTTGAGAGATGAAGAGCACCAAATGAACAAGACAGCCGGCTGTGCAAATAGAAGCAAAACACACAGAGAAAGCGGCTACAACGTGAGCCCTCGGAAATTTCTTCTCTTTTTCTCTTTCAAGCCACGGAACCGGAAACACTTTTGTTTGCCTGTTCGCACGTTCCCACTCCTCTCCGTGACAGTGAGAGAACGAGAGGACGAGAGGACGAGAGGACGCCGATCAACTGAGACCTGAAAGCCCATCAACCGTCCCGTTTTCTGCGAGATCTTGCAGCTATTGTCGACGTCTACCCCACGAGAGGAAGAAGACGAAAGGCAGGGTTGCTTGTTAGGCGTGGGGGATACGCTGTAGGGCGACTGGACCCTTGGGCGCAGTTATTTGTAACGCGGCGGGTTGTGGTCCGTCGTTACAGTCTAGGAGTGCCAGAACAACTTCAGCAGCTACAGCAGCAGTAGAGAAGGTGAGAAGAGCTGCCGATATGAGATGCCTGGCAGTACAATGGATGCCTGAATCTATAGTGCGAAAAGCTGTTTGTAGCAAATCCAGTGACGCGCAGCGAACCGGGTCTCCACTCTGTGTAAAGACCCACATGGTATGCATATATATATTCACGGCAGCCCTTGTTTGCTCCAGCGCAAGTACATGTGCACACGGTAAACAGTAGTCTACACCTACACCACATGTAGTCTACACTTATGGCAGTAGTATCGCGAGCTTTGGATGAGTGTAATGTTGCTGCTTAGAGGGAAGAGTGGTAGCAAACAGGTGGGACTGCTGCAATCAATGCCGGTCGGCAGTCACACAGCACCGCGCTCTACATGATGATACATGTTATGCTAACGTGCACTATTGTTCTATAATACCAATTGTGATCATGTCAATTGTTCTACCAAGTGCACTGGGAGGCTTTGCTGTGATGTATTCGTACCAGCTTCGCCACTTTTCCTGCAGAAAGCAAACATCTGTGTTCGCGGTAGACAACAATCGCATGCGCATGATAATGCCGTAAGAGAGGCAAGATGAGCCAATATTGTTCGAAACAGCCCCCCCAACGAAAACTGCCGCGCTCTCCTTCCGAACGCTCATGTATCCCAACGGTCTTCTTTTTGTTTTTTTGCTTTCCGTGTTATTCATCACACGACAAAGATTTGGAACCATGCGACGGCGTACCACAACCACCACCAACAGCAGCCGAGGCGGCAGCGTCGTCGCTGTGCTCGGAGCCCTGGTTCTCCTCTCCTCAACTGGCGGCGGCCCGTTGAAAATCCTGCCTGCTGTGAAGGGCGAGAACTACTGCGATGCCGGTCCGGCCTCTTCCACGGCGGGAAACCCCGACCTGGCCTCCGACTTCACCATCGAGCACGACTTTGCCTGCGAGGACGGCTACTTTCTCGTGGGCGTTGATGTGTGGGCGGGCGCGTTCGTAGAATCGATGAGGTGGAGGTAAGTAAGAGAGCTGCCACGGCAGCCAGTACGTTGTAATAATATAGTACGACCGATCAGTGGGGTTTAGAAGCGAGAGAGAGGAGGATGCACTTGTAGGTTCCACTTCTTTGTGTGCGTGCGTGAAAAAGGTGTATCGATGGTTGTGGGCTGGGATATCTGGTCGTGGATGCCCTCCTTGGCGCACCAACGCGGTGGTCAGTGTTGATTGTTGATCGCGATGTTGATCGCGAAAACAGTGTGGTGACACGGCCTTGCGAAGGGCCGACCGAATGGAACGTAGACCACGCGAACTCGGCGCGAAAGTCCCGCGCGCGGACCTTGAAGAAGGAAAACACAACGTGACGCATCAACAGCAGCAGCAGCAGCAACAACAACAACAACAACAACAACAACAACAACATTTTTTGTACCGTGCAATACGCATAGGTGCTCGAACGGCGACGAGTCACCCACTAGCGACAACACCAGCCCCGACGGAATCATCTCCTTCACGGATGGCGCCATCACCGCCATCGAGGCCACGGCCCACACCAACACCACCACCCTGGAGTTCCTTGGGCTCATGTACATCGGAGGCTTCTACTTCTCCGAAGATACCATCTCAACGGAAGGCCCGTTCGGGTATGTCCGCTGTCCGTCCGCGTAGCGTGCACGCAACTCCCCAGAGTGTTCCCTGGGGGCACAGCGGATTGTAAGACAGGAATATTGGGGCCCCCTTACTTGCTGGGGGGAGGGGGCGCACAAAGAAGAGGACACGTCAGTATATCAGTAGTGCGGTTAATGTGCACCTTTCTAATACACACAACCTTTCTAATACACACCACTGTAGAAGAAAGGAACACAACTGTCTCCCTAGCCCACATCCGGAGACTGGCCTGGCAGACAACCCCCTTTGGTCCCGAAGAGACTTTATCGAAGAAGATTCGCGGAACGCTGCGAACGTTCGGATAGATATGCAGATGAGTCTTGAATATCGTGTAAAGTGCATCCAAGAATGACTGAATGCACTCTCATCTTCCCCCTTGCCGGAGCATATCCCAGTAACCTCAGCAACCCTTGGCACTCCTCGCCACACGGTTGGAGAGAGCCCCCCCCTCTCCGATGATAACGGTTTCACCGCGTGTTGTTCCGGGACTCTTTTGTTTGACTCCGTGTGTGTAGGGCTAGCCTTACTCCCACGCCTCCGTTCACCCCAAGATCACTTCGACGCGACATCACAGACCCTTGAGGACCCCCCGCTCGTCTGTCCGTCTTGCCTAATTGTCGGGGATCGTGCCCCCGTCGTGGAAATGATGACCTGGTTTTCGGGTGTACGAGGAGTGTGTGATGGGTGTGTTGGGTGCTTGTCCCTTCCATCTATTCTGGCGCCAATCTACACGACCCGCCGGCGTGTTATTTCATGCATCAGCCGGGATTTCAATGTTGGAACTTCCGCGCTCCTGCCACTTTCCCACCGGCTTGCCACACCCCGCTACCCGATGGGTTCCATCTAATGTTTTGGTGTGGCCGCTATCGTTCATTCTTGGCCGGCGGCAGTGCTGCTGTTTAGGTGCCGATCGTTTCGCGGTACTGCGGTAGTATCGCATGTGCCACGGCGTGTGCGTGTGTTCCTCAGCCATTCGTTGATGTAGCAATTGCCACCAGCGGGACCTGATGCCCAGCCTTGAATATCCGCTCAAATATATTCCGGATACGCATGTATGAAGTACGGAGGAAGTCTCCAGCATCGCAGACACAGTGCAGGCATGGAGCCGACCCCGCGGCTCATGACTCCTCCCTATCTAGTAGTTTCGATGCCCCAGCTTTCCGGGAAATTCAGCCGAGCATGGTCATCATAAGGAAACGAATGAGTACATCCCCCGCTTCCCTCCCTCGTGTACTGCATCCGGCCAATGTTCGTCTGTTTCGTTTTTTTTATCATTCAGCGACGGCGGCAACTACTCGTCCGTCAGCACCTCCACCAGCTGCGAGGACGGGGCCTACGCAACCGGGGTCCGCCAGTGGTACACGGAATCGGCGGTTTACGGGATCATGCTGCAGTGCGCCGAGCTTTCGGAGACATGCTCACCCGGCGTCGCCGCTGCCGACGCACTAGGTGCGTGGGGGAGAGGGGGGGCGTTCTTGATTGGTCACTATGAAAAACACAGATTCAACACCATGGCGGACATCTTGCGTGGCGTGGAAGTTCAACTGGGGCAGGGTTAGTGTTTGAGTTGTTCATGCGAAAAGGTACAGTAGTCCCCCTTGACAACAGGCATCGGTCCGGGTAGTCCACAGAGAGTTGGATTCGTTGTCTCAATTCTGGGTCTGCCTCGTATACGATAAGGAGAGCCTGGAAATGCCTAGTGATCCCCCAAGAAGAAATGTTTGGACATGGGATTTGTATGTTCCGATCATGAATCTCGAAACGAGATAAAGCCTTTTTGCCAAGTCTACAACTGTGCAAACCTTGGACAACCTCCCGGCCCCAACTCACTTTCTTGCCGCAATCACTAACAACATCATTGCTACGTGTGCCACGCATCTTGAACATCGAACACGACGGCGATGGTGGTCGAAACAGACGCTCTGGCGAATAGCGACGGAGGGGGTTTCTTCGAGTTTACGGATTGGTCTATCGTAGGGGGGGCAGCGCTAGGGGTGTGGGTGTTTACCTTCTTCGCGGCATTGGTGTGGTGTTGCTTCTTCCGGGGGAAGAAATCTTCCACGGCAGCGACCGCAGGGGAAGAGGAGCAGAAGGAAGGGGAGGCAGGAGGAGGACGAGCGTCGTCCACCGCAGCGACCGCAGGGGGGGAAGAGGAAGGAGGACCGGGACGAGGAGGAGGGTGAGGAGGATGGCAGCAAGCAATGATTGCTAAGCTGTGCGAGCGGTCATAAAAATAAACAAGCAAGAATTTGCTCAGAAGGCTTTTCTTAGAGTCGACACAGGCTGTGTCAGGCGCGTGACCGAACCGCTGTGTGATATGGGTTGTGTCCGGTATGTGGACTATCTACGTTTTTTCTGTATGTTTCCCTTGTTTGCACATTATTATCAATGCCATTTTGCGATGAGGGTGTCCTTCTTTGTTGTTGCTTTTTTCGAACTTTTTTTATATCACCAACTACTGCAGACAGTATAAAGGAAGTCAGGTAGTTCGAATAGGGCCCGGTTGTACTCCAATGTGGACCCTTCGATCGAAAATCAGAGACGGTGTGTATACTTCGCACAATAGATAGTGGATTTGAGGCTGGCCACAGGAGGTACAAATGGTCTCGAACAGGTGTTCATTATTTTTTTTTGTATATTCGGTGTGTATACGCGGGGATGCTAAGGGGGGCAGAGAAGTTCGACCTTGATCTGCGCAGGAGTCAGGATGGTCGAAACGGTAACCGAGTGAGGGCGCGGAGGTGGGAGGGGGATACGCTTAGAAGGGTCCTCTGTCTGAGGAAACTACTCACTGGACCTGAGGAGATCAGGAGCGAGAGGGCAGAATGTTTGGCGAAACATATACCGGATTGTGATGGAGTAAAGTATGTCTCCCTGTTTTACTATTGATTGCGTTAACCCCTTCAACAACGCCAACCGAAGCTCACCCTAGCTGTAGGCAGCATGTAACAGATTGTACGTAACGTCTGTTGAAAGGGGGTCCTGGACGTTGATGACGCCCGTTGCTCAAGGCCAAACGTTAAATCCCAGATCGTTGAACGCATGGCGATTTCAAGACATTGTGTCCTGACAGAGGCATTTGTTCAGCGGACTAAATACGCTATACATTGAGGCTGCACCTCGGACGAGAATATGCGGGCCGCACACCCATGGTCATACCTGGCCCAGCAAATGAAAAAAAAAATAGAATGAGGCCTTCCCACGCGCGAAGCGCGCCTGTTTGGCCTCAAGAAGGCGCTTTTATGGCGCTGTCCCTTCGGCGATTGGGGTGGCCGCAAGCCAACTGCCCAAAAAGGATTACCGTTGTTGAATCACCCAATACCACCGAAAGTAAGGAGGGGTCCACGAGATCATAACAAACTCGATGAAAATAGAAGAGCACAATATCACATGAAGAGATCAAAACATCCCAGGCAAACACTATAATTGTCCGCCGTCGCTGGTGACATACCGGGCATAAAGGAGATACTCAAAGAAGTAGACACATACATACACATCTCTTCCGGTCGGCACGCGATGCCGAACACAATAAAACAAATAATCACACATCACCAGAAACCAAGACGGACATCACATCGGGCAGCTGTCGGAAGGGGGTTCGACAAAAATATTGAAGGGACACATGTGACAAGTATTCGTGCCACCTCCATCACATCCAACCCCGCACACGTTTCGGAAAACGTTCTGCCAAACTCGTCCTGCTCTCCTCAGCTGCAGTCGTGTCCTCGAAGCGGATGTTTCTACGGTTATCCCCCGCGGCTATCCCCCCCAGCCGTCGGTTGTCGGTTCGGTCTATCGGGATCGACGCCGTTAAAGGATGACCAAAAATAGCAACTGTGCTCTACTACTTCGCCGATTCACACTCGCACTCCCCGCTAAATTTCCGTACTGCACTTCGATGTGACTGTTTCACAGTCACATGATGCAAGCTCTGGCACGGTGCTTCGGGCCCTTCCGACCAAATTTGTTGTTGGTATCACTTTTCGGGGGTCCCAACATTGCCACTTCTCGCTGATGCTCAGAGGCGGGATGGAGGGAAGCTGGGCCCCGGCAACTAAAATCCCCCAGACGCCTCCAGAGCCCAAGGCTAAGCAAGACCACCAGAAAGGCCTTCGACGTCCTGATGGGGGGGGTCTTGACCCTGGACATCAGTTCGTAACGTGTTTCTCGTGTTCCCTACAGTAGCTCGTGGTGCCTGTCAACGTCACCGGAACATGGGTATGGAAGGCACGCATGTCCATAAAAGCAAAAAACGTACATCGAGAAGAACAACTTCGGGACACCCACTTCGCAAGCTGGTCATGGAAATAATACTTCACTGGCCAATCCTGCGCGATCGATCGATTCGGGACAACGCCAGCACGGAAAACATTTTCTTCGGAGAGTCATGGTTCCAAGAGGAGGTCGACACACGTTAGGCACAAGTTAACCCACACGGAGCTGCGGATGATCAGGCACATTAAGAGGACTACCCTTGAGACTCGAACTGTTGCTGGTGCTACACAGCGGCCACGATCGTCAACACCTGGAGCTGCTGTTGCGTCGTTGCTCCGAACTCCGAACAGAACAACTCTACGGTTCTTGAAGAGAACCAAAATTTCGAACCGAAACTTCGTTCCGAAAACGAGCACCAGGCACCCGGTAACCATTCTGCTGCTGCTGTTGCTGCAACTACCTACAACGCCCGTGGCTAGCGCCCAATGCCCCCGAAGCCCCGAAATAGCGTCACGCACGAAGAAAGCAGCAATATACCGTACTAGTAGACACCACCCCAAGGTCACCCTGCACGCTAGGGCTTTCCAGGAGACGCTAGGCCGGAAAGCAAGCGTAGACGACACTGACGTTGTTACCGCTCGTGAGTGCGTGTGTGTTCGCTGCTTTGAAGGCAGTGTTGTTTCCTCGTCGTACACGCGAGGCCGTATCCTTCCGAATGAACCTCCAGTCCATGTGTGTGTATGTCTCTCTGTGTTGCTGCTGCTGTGTGTATCATCCTTACTTTCGTGCAAGTCCGCTGCCGGGCGATGCTGCTTAATATCATCGTATATTCGCTACAAGGTACTGCTGTAGCTGTTGCTGTGTGTGCATCATCATTCTTTGGTGGATGCCCGCTGCTGCTGGGCTTTAGTGCAGGGCCATGTCAACGTATGTATCCAACCCGAGTACGCGTGAATGTGTACCCGCGGAGCTCGTATCCTCCCGTTTTTGCTCGTTGGGTTCACACAAACTCACTCGACTCACTCGGCTGAAGCTCGTTCACTTGACTCGATCGGCTCGTACTCACTTTCGTTCACATAACCCCCTAAACACCTCACACTTGTCTCACAATAACTCACGTTTTTCAACGTTGTCAAACCTCTCGGCTCACACTCACGCTCACTCACTCAACCCTCCCAACTCACTCAATTTACTAGACTCACGCTCACTGGCTCAACTCACTCTGCCCTGTCTCGCTCCTCTCTCACAAGTCACTCGACTCGTAATCACTCTCTCGATTCGTGCTCACTCAATCATCTGTCCTCACAATATGACTCGAATCAATCTCACCAAGTATTTCTCTTCACTCACTGACCAGTATACTCGTCTCACACCACTCGCTCACTCCTCCGGACGCCCACGTCCACGGGGGAGAGAGTGCCGATCTGAAGGATTTCGGAACGCCAGAGTTCAACGTGGTTCACGACGGGGGGTACATCGGATGCTGGTAGATGACCTGGTAGACGACCTTGTCACGAAGGGAGCCGGGGAGCCCTACCGGATGTTCACAATATGGTAACCGTCTCGAGAGGGTTGAGGATGAAGCCGTCGTGGTCGTGCATGTCTCGGGCGTTCTTGTGGTATTGAGGATGGGGCCCTCAAGGTGGTATTGTGGGCATCTCACACCCCAAATAGTGGCAATTCACATGTTTGGGGTGTCGTTGCGTGTACTACGTTATCACGCGCGCGGGCTCTTTTCGAGAGCGTTTTTCACTAAGGAGGGACTCAATATCCTTGATTATTTAGAGAGTTTCCTTGATAGTTTAGAGAATGAGACATGGGCAGGCAAGCAGAGCCGAGCGCGTCAAGTCCATCACCCCCCATCATGCATATCTATCTGCGTACCCCCCCGGAGATCTCGGAGATTCGTATCCTACCGAGTGCGCAAACAAACATCCCCCCTACTCGGTACGAGACATTATGTACGACATCGTCCGTACATATCGCCAGGAAAACAGCACAAAAAAAACGCATGTCTAAAATATCCACAAATCATCTCAACTCCCGAATCTGTCAAATATTCAAATAAGTTCGGAAGCACATAGGCCTCAACCATGTCTTACCAAAAAAGGCCCAATCTTTCCTCCAATACGTAGTTCAAAACAACCAACCATCAATACCAAATGCGGCAAAAATAGACAAAGGACAAAAACCCGGCGTTAATAAAAACCCAAGAGGAAACTTTCACCAATAATGCCGTTTCTCAAGCATCGAGACATGGATTTCTTAACAGCCCCTCTGCTGCATTAGACTATCTCCCAAAACAGAAAAGCTCAACAGCCCCCCTTCAACATATCTCCGACCGACCATGGAACTCAATCCGTCCTGCAGCAGGCAGTAAATACAAGAAACAAACATCACATCCAAACAATCGAGAAATCAAACAAGCACGATGAAGATACCTCCGAACTCCGCAGGAAACGCGGAATCGCAAACAAAAAAGAATTGCAGGGAAAACAAGGAAAAGGGTTAACAAATTGAACAACCAAACCCGAAAGCCCGCTAGAACTCTGCTTGTACTGCGGCGAAGATAATGGCATCGGCATCGCATTCATCCCCCCCGATGATTTTCGACGGCAGTGCTGGCAGGGATCCAACAATACCAACTGCACCGTTCGTCGTGCTGAATTCTTAGACTATCCTAAAATATATTCTCAACAAACGAAAAACACAATGTGACCATAGGTGAAACACCATGTCGTACGCATCGCAGCACGAATCAGACCATTATATTGTATGTCGACACGTTTCTCAAGCTCACGATTTTCAATAAACAAAACAGTACCAAACCTACAAACATAAAAAAATACTCTTCTTCTCACAAACGTGCCTGAATCGCGCGTAGACCCTACTGTCATCCCGCACAGTAGTTCCCGAGCACGAACACTCTCAATTCATGCCGCACACTTGCAGCCACGATCGAATGTCCATCCCTGGCAGTGCCCCCCATCGTCCCGCACCACG